TGCGTACTGTTATTATATCTATTCTAGACTAGACCTTTTTTGACTTGTTCTTTTGTCACAATGGTAGCATATCACAAATACAATGCTGTTGATATATATTTATATTAAATGACACTAATACCAAAGTGTATTTTGGATGTTAATATGAATACTGTTGAGTATGGTATGGTGATTACTGGATAGTAATTCTAGATTATTTTTTTTTTTATATGAATATTTCAATGTAATCCAATGAAATAGGAAGGTACTGAAGATACTCCAATTTATAATATGATCACTTTAATAACACACTTATTGAACACAGACTTAAAAAATATACTTTAAATAACCCTTTTATAAATCCACAATACATTATAGTTACTTAATCCATATAATGAATAAATCTGTTGTCTCATTACTTGACATTTGAGTTTGGAGGTTCCTCTATTTAAACACACTGAAGAAACACAGTGTAGAATATATTGCTTCTTGAGTGTAATATCTTCAAACTCAATTCAATAAAACAAGTAATCCAGTGATGAACAAACATAAAACAGAAATCACTTGAACAATTAGTATAATAACTTGATTGACATAATACTATTGTTAAATAAATGATCAGTAACTACTTGGCTTATGTTCCCAAAGAATCAGTTCACCACATTGAAAAAGCCAAACCAGCAAAAAAAATGATAATTTTTTTTTAAATTAAATGTTTCAATAATTTGTCTTTTTGATTTTTTTTAGACTAAAAAATATGCAGATGTCATAATACCACGAGGTGCAGACAATGTAGGTAAGTACCAGTACTTAAATTCCAATATTAATTTACATTTGATAAAAAAATTATTCTGTTTTTTCCATGGAAATCTGCCAAAGTAGTTTTGTTTTAATAAAAAGACATTTTCAAATGTATATTCTTTTTGTCATCAGAGGTTGATAGCTTTTAAAATTATAAAACTAGGCCTACATTGTAATCTGGCTGACTGGACCACTGGCTCATGAACCCCATAGCTGGTTTGAACCATATCCATTACCACTTTCAGCAGTACCGGTACTGGTAAAAGTTGTATGTGCAAGCTACATAAACATTTTAGGTGCCAGAATTAATAAATCTTGCTAGGTTCCTGACTAGAGGAGGGTAAATTTCAGTTTTCTGGGAATCAGTAATTTTCACACTAAAATCACTCTAATCTCCTCATAATTGACACTTGGAATTTAAAGATCTGATTGTTTGAAAGTGATATGAAGAAATGTGGTGGCAATAAAATGAAACCTCAAGAAAAATTAAGTTAATGAAATAAATAGGCAAATTTAAAATGTCATGGTCAGCCTATTTAAAGATCAATGAAATACTAAAAGTGACTTTTAGCTACCAAGAGAAAGAGCTTAGAAATTTGAAAAGTGGGCACAAAGTATTGGATGATTTAGTAAAATACTTTGCCTATCAGTACTTCTATATTCTCTACACCAGATAAACCAAAAAAAAACAAAAAACCAGCTTGCTATTTATGGGTTTGCTTCCATGTATGAAAATATCTCATGAAAAATTGTTTATTTGCAATGGCCCTTTTTTAAAATATTTTTTATTTAGACTAGGTAATGCTTTTTTACTAAGACTGACTGCACCAACTGACTATGTCTGACTGGTACAGTTTGTTTTTTTTTTATGTAATTTCTCCCACACCCAATATTGGATCAAGTTGAACAACACAAGAATCAATTTAAAAATTAAACAAAGTAGTCCAAAGTAGTATAGGGAAAGAAATTCTCCATGACAGATGTGGCAGTATAAATTGAATTAGTGCCCTTTATAATTTGTGTCAAGAATTAGTTCATTACTAAAATATTTGAAACTTACAATACATAGCTATGAATCCTACTTTTATAAGCACTTCTCTGGCATAGTGGTTTGTTTATTGGCTTGAGGAGGATTGAAACCTGCATTTTAAAAGCTTTCATAGTAACCATCAGTCACCCAAATACCCCTTTTTTCTCTCTCCCCACCCCACTTCCAGACAAGGGATAGAATCATAGTGCATTGAAAAAGCTAAGCTAAGCATGGAATCGCACTAAACAAAAACAATTGGTAAAAATAATTGTAATATCACAGATTGTTAATCTAGATGCCCGTATATTACAAATTTAATTACATGACTGATCCAAACTAATTGATACAATGAGCGGTATACTAAAAATTAGCTTTAAAAAGAATTTTTAAAAATATTTTTCTTTGCATAGGGCCAGTCCTACAGGTTGTGGGGGCCTATGCAAAACAGATTGCACGGGGCCTAATTTGGGTTGTGATAAGGATAAGTGAAAATTAAGATTTTGTATTAAAAAATAAATTCGTCTTTACATTTACTAAGTACAAAATCACTGTCAAATTAACGTTTCGAGCCATTTAGAGTAGATAATGGTTTTCGAACAAAAAGTCGATAAACATTCAGATCTGCCTTTTAGATTTACTATCGACTCTCAAAATATCGCTTTTGTTGTGAATTTTTTTTTATATAAGAGGTCAACATAGATTTAGATCTATATTTGTATGCTAATGACTATTGAAGTAAATTAACTCTTTGACTCCGGAATTACTTTGGAATTATTTTCCACTTTTGGACGGAATTAATTTTTCCGCCATTTCAGAGTGCGCTACTTTGCTTCGATATAACTTTTTAATTTATTATTGGAAAATAATAAATTTGATATAGAATTAAAGAGAAATGGATGCTCTTTCCATTTCTTATGTTTTCTAGTTTGCAAATAATGTTGTTTTTGTAATCCATCCAAGTGCATGTTTAAAGAAATTTATTGTTCAAATTAAATTCAAATAGCTTTTTTTCTCATATTTATCCATTTGTTTACAGAACACCATAGAAGAAACAGCAATAGATGCAAAAAATAATTACCTGGAACTAATAATCCAATGTCACTACTTTAACGAAAAAGCCCATAAAAAAAGCAACACTCTTGGAACAAAACACTTTTACCCTAAAACTAGTCCAACTGTACAGCATATATATATTTATAGTATTTTCTTCTAAAGTTCTTCATGTACTTAGTATATAAATATTCCTTCTAGTTGTGATATTCATAGAAGCAGTTAATATGAATGTGTGGGTTCGACTCCCATCCAGCGCAAACACTAACCGTTCTCCCTGACTTACAGTGTTTACATACTCTGTCTTTCTTTATAGTTATAGGTCTCCATTCTCTGAAAATGGATCTTATTCTAGCAGGGGTGTTCAATTTAATCCTATGGTCAGCATAGCTATTTATTTTGCTGACAAGACTATCAACAATGTGATTGTCAATGAAAAAAAACAACATTCCAGCTCAATAGATGCAGTGCTGACTAAGTCTAGGTTGACAACCCAATTTCTTGGTGGAACAAATCTGAAATTGATCTGTTTCTGTGCCTAGATGATAGATTTAGAGATCTACCTCTATCTGATTAGATTTAGATCTAGATGATGTAGAGACAGCTAAACTAGTTCTAGATCTACATTGAACATTAGCTGGGGGTGGAGCTGCTTCCTCAGCTGATAAACTTCATCATTACTAGACCTAGCCCTAGATCTATAAATTAATTTACTAGATCTAGATCTATATAATTAGATTTATCAATATCACCATCAGATGAAACAAAATCACTGTCATCTGAATTATTATACTTCTTTATCAAAGAAATATTTAGATCTACAAAGTTTATATGGCCTTGGTTGAAGCTCCATGGTAAAAAAACACGCACCCAGAAAAAATAAATGTAATCTCTTTACAAACTTCGTACAAAATAAAAACACGTTAAATGAAGGAAATTCCGGATGTTTAGCAAAGGGAAACTATTCTAGATAAAAAATTAAGCAATAAAAAACAAGAATTGGAGAAATAGAGATGAAAAAAATAAATTTGAAATAGCTGATGCCCCCAGCGTTGGTCCGACTTTTTTCCCCTTTTTTAAAATCACCGTCCTGTGCGTTGTTGCAAAGAGTTAAGTATTTGAATTTGTTGTTTGGTTAAAAGTCAGCTTATTATTACATTTTTATTAAATGAAAGCTGACAATCTCTTTTTATTTAATCGCAAGTAGGATTGGTGTTTTCCATATTGAATGACACATCAAAATGACAATTTTGTCTGTTTTAAGATTTGCATCAGCTTTCAGAAGATTTTAATAATTTCAGGACATTTTCATGACCTTTTCTTATATTTTATAATTTCAGGAGAATTCCAAGAACCCTTTAATAATAAGTTAAAACGGTTTAATTTAATAATTTACACCTAGAATTCGCATCGCGCGGGCCTATGAAAGTGCGGGGCCCACTGCGGCAGCATAGGTTGCAGTGGCCTAAGACCGGCCCTGTTAAGAACTCATGTTTATATATTGATTGAATGGGGATGGAGTATCTTGGAGTTTTAGTCCCCTTGATAGGTAGCCAAGTGATTTCAACCTCTCAGACACATAGCCCCATGTTTGTGATTGTAGATTGTGTATTTTTTAAGATTCTTAGCATTGTTATTATTATATGTGCTTTTGTAAGATCCATAGCATTGTTATATTATTTTACAGTTTGTAAGAGCTACCTGTGAGTAAAGTTTAAACAACACATTCTCGTTGATTCATTGAAAGCATTGTTTATTTTCAGTTGCTATTGACTTGATAGTTCAACATATCCAGGAATTGATGCGGCCTAACAGGACCAACAGAAGGCAGAGAAATAACTCTGATTCAATAGTTGGCCGACCACACTGACGCTGATGTGTCCTACAGCATTGACATGTTTCTTTTCACCATGTTTACTATTTATAGAAATATGTACATAGTTTTAATGTTTTAGTTTCATCTGTTAAGTGTACATAATTTTATGCCCACAGTTGTGATTGGCCTTTTTATATTATTATTGCAGTGCCATGGATTGTAAAATATATCCCTTAAAGTTGGCATGGGTTGATTCCAGTGTTGAACTAATACTAGTGAAAGAATTTGAGAACTAAATCTGTTTCTGTGTAGTGAGACCAAAGATACATGACTGTATATTTAGTTTGTTTTTTTATGACAATCCCAATACTTTTTTTTTTTTATAAGGGAACTGGGCAGGTCTAATTTAAATAACTAGATCTTAAACCAAATTAGAAAGAAACTTTTGATAGTACAATGAAAGAATGGCTTTAAGTATTGTTTGATATAATATATGATTTAATGCTTAACATTCTAATGTATTAGGGTACTAGTAGTTAAATTGTGACTATGAAATCCTGCTTTGTTTATAATGACCATTGGATGAACCTTATGATAATATGTAAGATTTTTTTATTTTAGTGTCCTATTAGTAGCCTATCAGCTGTTCAGTTAAACCTACTACTAATAGCATAGGACAGCTTCAAAGAATCAGTCTAGTAAAATAAAGAGAAATTTCTAACAATATTGGCCGTCTTTTTTTTTTTTGTTCATTTCATTTGTATATAGAGATAGTTTTTACTTTTGTTATTTTGTTAGGTGTCTGTTTTTACTTTGTTTGAAGTCTAGTTTGGCTTTGCTCTGCACTAATGGGACAGCTTTTATTAGCACACTCTTGCTTTAATTATGTTAAGAATTAAAACATATACCAGGTACCATTAATCTGACACCATAAAATATCAGAATGTTTTTGCTGAAACTTAAATACATGAATAGTTAAAGAAATTGTGGTAAAGTAATGCAGGTAAAATGGCAGGTTTTGATTTTTTCACCACAAATTTGGAAGCTATGAATCGTAAACAATCTCAGTCTTCCAAATTTAAAAAGTGATCCACAAGGTACTTTTCTTGTCTGAATGTTGTGAAAATTCTATAATGTTCTTCATGTAGACAAAACAATGAGCACATTCATGGCAACATCTGTTTGAAAATGTGACCAGGCCCCTCATGGAAATCGAGAGTACCATGTGTACATTTCACATACTGTGAAACGGGGTGACTTTGCACACTTTTCAACTTCCAACTTAATTTTCCCATATTTAAAGTACACTTAAACTACTATAAACTTGTTTGCCTACATAGTGGATGCCTGTACTTTAATAAAAACATTAAATAAAGTCAGTACATAACAGGGAAAATACTTTTTTGGGGACTTAAATGCCATTTTTTCAAAAATGGGGTGACTTTGCCTTCGAACTTTATATTCTTAATAAATGTATTTTAAAGTAAATAGAACAGAAAACCTTTTTTCTAAGATTAAGACAACATTTTTGAATAAAGAGGCAATAAAAGGCATCACAAAATTTTAGCTGTTTAATGCATGGCTTCCTCCTAAAGTAAACAGTTAAAATCAAAGACATTTATCAACAAATTCTTTTGTTCGTGGTTGAGGTTTCCACTCAGTTGACCCAGAATTTATTTCCCCGCTGCTGGAATATAAGTGCTTCAATGGTAGTAGCATTATTTTCATTCACTTGGAACATAGCTGATATTGAGAATGTTGGCTGTGAAGGATGTTGCCTTCTTGCGCCAATCTCTCAGAATAGCCCAAACAGAAATATTTTTTATTTTCAATCTTCTCTCAATGCCAGCTGAATTTCTGCTCATGCCTGTTTGTGTTTTCACTCTTACATAGCTTTAATAAAGTTTCTACATCATTATCTTTATTTTTATGTCAGCTCAGTTTCTTTTTGGACACTGTTATCATGACTATCTAAAAGAAAAAAATGCAACACATATAAGAGGGGTGACTTTGCCTCTACCTTAGGCATATAACCTAGTAAGAAATTATTTAATTACAACTTCCCCTCACAATTGTAAACCAATTAACAACTACAAAAAATGCTTAAGTTCATTTTATTAGCTATCATTATATTAGATCGAAACTAAAGTTCTAACTCACCTAAAACAGCTGAAATTCAAGGTCTTGATTCCAAAACGCGTACAGAAGTAAGGAAGCATCATTTCTAAACACTAACCTATATTCTTTTATAATTAAATGAAAATTCATGGGAAACAACTCAGGAAAAAGTTTTTAAAGCCTTTCACATTTTTAGTATTGAGTAGGCCAAGCCCTTCCATTTCACGATAACAATAAAGAACTTGAAAGATGGCTCTTGTCCCGCCACCATGTTTCTCATGGGCACGCATGAAGCAGTATAGTGTATGAATATGAAAGACTCTGAGGCTCCATCTCCAGCATTGCCACACAAGGGTAATGAGGCAATGACTGAAGGAACTTGCAAAACCAATGTAACGAAATGATTATCTAGTTGGTCATTTGTTGAAAGGAACTTGGGCTCAGACTCTCTCTCTGTCTCGCAGGATTAGAACTAGGAAAATGTACTATTAATAAATCTGGTTTAAAAAAAAATAATTTTAAAAATATCTTTCAACTTTAAAAAAAAAAAAAAAATCAGTAGTACAGGTACCAGTAGCTAGTACACAACAGAAAATGCATTAATTTGTAATATATAAATGTATCATATGAAAAATAGCAAATAAAATATTTACTTCTTAATAGCAGTAGTTTCCATAATTATTACTACCTATTGATACTAAATATAAAACAAGTAGCAGTTACACCTAAACTTAGCTACAAAGTAAAAATGGATTTACGAGTTGTTTTTTTTAAATGGAGACTAATGGCAATGTCTACACTTCTGGGGTCTCGAAATTATTGTAGATCCACTGAATGTAGTGCTAAGTGAAGTACTTTATGCAATGAGAATAAAACTGATGATCAGTTTCATCGGGGGTTCCTTTCTCTGTACAAACTTAAAAAGACAATAACATTGATTAACGGAACTAATTCACCAATCGTAAACAAACAACATTTAGCCACATGGCTCTCTATTTCTTGTATACAAAATACGCAATACATAAATGCTGTCACGTGGTTTTTTTCCCATTGTTTTATCAATATTATCACTCAAAAATATAATTTCCTTGTGTAGAGATCAGTAGCACATAGGAATAAATGGTGTGTCCCTTTGCACACCCATGGTAGGAGAAAGACAAAAAAACACCTATGTACCGGTATTGACGAAACATGCCCTTAAAACAAAAATATTAAAGCAGTGATGCCCAACCTAATTCAATCTGTGGGCCACTTTAATTTCCATCACTAGTGTCGCGGGCCACATGATGGAAAAGATACAAAAACTTAATGAAATTGACCTAAAACTATTTTTATTTCAAACCCGAGGAGCTAGTACTTACATAAATAATATTGGGATATTTGAATTTTCTTTTTACACTTCCAAAAAAATGGCTCAAGTTCTGTTTATATTTTGTTGTTTTTTAAAAAACATTCACGCTTACTTTATAAGAACAAACTTGTTTGCTAGCAATGTTATCATGTTCTACAAAAAAGTAAAGATCTGTTCACTTTTCCTAGTAGATTCTATTGTCCTATTTCATCATGAAAGGACAAATGTTTAATGCCTTGGTCGTAATCCATTACAAAAAATTGAGGGCCCTAACACATGTAAAGATTCATTTTGAACATTTTTTAGGGGGATTTTCTATATTTTATGCCGACGTTTCGGAGGGCCGTATTTTACTGTATTAAAGGTTCTACTTCATTTAGGATACAGTTTTGTTTTTAATGCAAATATATGTAGAGTCAAAATAATGTTACAAATGTACACTATCCAATAATCATTTAGCTGTTGCTCAATATGATGCTGACCAACCAAATCACAGGAGGAATAGTTCTGAAAACTGCTTTAGAAATGTGTGTGGTAGTACAGAAGCAGGCCCAACAGAGATATTGAATTACCCACATCAATTAATTTATAGAAATACTAATTCACCTGAGTTCTTTGAGGTTAGAATGTTTAGTTTTGGTGGGGCTGACGGCTAAAATCAGTATTTTGTGATGACTATAACACAAAATGAAACTGAAATAGTAATAAATTTAATTTGTATTACTTTAAACAGAAATTAAGCAATGTTTGAATTTGTAAAGCTGATATTTTTTAAAGATCATTATTACAGAAACACATCTCCAAAACTAAGTCAAGAATGAGTGTATTTATGAGTTATTTTTTGTTTATTGAAATAAGCAATGTCTATGTACAGGTTAGGTGAACACATGTTCAAACAAACAAAAACTGATCATTAAATCTTATTTCTCCCAGCTTTTCTGATTGGACTACAAGTTCATTTGGTCCTAAACTCTAGTGACAATCAGTAGAACAATAAAGAAAAAAAAAAGAAAAAACAAAAAGATACATTTTGAAATAAGTAAAAAAAAAAAAAAAATTAAATAGGAAATGATAATCCAGCAAATATTGAAACTATAAACATCAAACAAATAGTTTAAAAAAATAGGGAGTAATTAAAAAAAAAATTCCTGTAAATACTGGAATTGGTAGATAGTGTTGAACAGACTTCTACAGTGTTAGATTTCTAAAGCTCAAAACATTTCTTTTTTTAAAAAAGGCAGTGTATTTACACCATAGCTAAGTGGAGTATTTGTAATTACCTAATAATTCAATGTCTACAAATGGATAAACTTTGCTATAAATTATGTTTAATGTTATGTTTAGCATGGAAAACAAAAAGGATGGGTGGGAAATCTATTCTCAGTGAAATGAAAGTAAATGCCTCTGAATGTTCAAAACAAAACTTCATCCACGACTTTTTAGCTTGGGCCACTCTGATTTTGTCCTTTAAAGCTAACCTAAAAAAAAATGAATAAATTTTTGGTTAGTTTAGAACATTTACCACTTATGTACACAGTAGAAAATTACTGAAGAAGAAATATAAAAAAGCATTCATAAAAATTTCATTTTTTGGAGGGATCATATAATCCTCACCCAAACAAAAGTGTGCATGTCCAAAAGCCCAATGTCAATCTAAATACTTTACCTAGGAACACATTATACTAGCATTAAAATTTTCAGTTATATAATATTCATTGGTAAAAAAAATAAAATAACAATTATACACAGAAGATAAAAACCTTGTTTACAATTATACCGGTACTTAGTATTTACAGGTACTAAAGGACTTTTAAAGCTGGTTTTAAGTTCCACTTTCAAACCTAACGATCTATATGGCAGATGATGTAAAGGTCATTAGTGTCTCTTACCCACAGTTAACAAGGGTGTCACATGGCCAGCACAACCACCAATCCCTTTTACTTCCTCTTGGTGGACTCACATCATAAAATTAAAAATCCCAGTCTTCACCATGATTCAAACCTGAGACCCAAGTTCAGAAGCCAATGGTTTTACTGCTCAGCCACCATGCCTCCAATAGAATATATGTATTTATGCAAAACCGTGTTTGCCAATTTAATTTTAAAACACAAAGGTTCACTTTCAGAAGCAGTTTCACTTATCAAAACTGCAAGTGTTTAAATATGTAAGCAATACATTCAGAAAAACTGAATTTCTTAACATATTCTCAAGTCACTAAACTGAAAAATGATCAAAAGTTATCATTTATCACTCAT